TTGTGGAGGCCAGGGGCCAGACGCCAGGGACCCTAGCATTTGGGGCCAGACACCAAGGACCCTGGCGTCTGGTCCTGGAGTCCGAGAAGGACTCTTGCATTGCGGGCTAAACCGACTTTGAGGAGGCTCTTTCTCCAAGAAACGACTGCAGGGCTCAACATATAAATAGAGGGGCAGGGCTAGCACCCGGAACACATTAAGATTCACCAGGCCATGTGTTGGCAACCCCGCCCCCTCTAGTTAATCCTCAGTCATAGTTTTCGTTGTGCTTGGCAAAGCGCTGCGGAGATTGTTCTTCACCACCACCGTCACCACGCCGTCGTGCTGCCAGAACTCATCTACTACTTCGCCTCTCTTGCTGGATCGAGAAGGCGAGGACACATCATCGAGATGAACGTGTGTTGAACGCGGAGGTGTCGTACATTCGGTACTTGATCGGGACTGATCGTGAAGGTGTATGACTACATCAACTGTGTTGATAAACACTTCCGCTTAGCGATCTACAAGGGTATGTAGATGCTCTCCCCCTCTCGTAGCTATGTATCTCCATGGATAGATCTTGCGTGTGCGTAGTTTTTTTTGTTTTCCATGCAACGTTCCCCAACAAAAGAAGCATGTGAAACTTAATGTTGATGCTTCCTTTGATCACGACATGCTGAAGGGTACAATGGGGGCGGTCCTGAGAGACGACAAAGATAGGTTTATCGCTGGAGGAAATGGGAAGATTGACTATTGTGCGGATGTTCTGATGGCAGAAGCCTTAGCTCTCAAATTTGGCCTAACACTGGCACAAAGGGCAGGGTGTAATTGCCTTATCGTTAATTCAGACAACCTGGAAGTGATTGAGGTGGACGAGTGGAGGGCTTGGCACCCTCCCCCTCCCCTCTCCCCCTCGTGTTGCCCTCACGGACGGCCGAGCGGGGCAAGCCTAGCTGCCGGCATCCCTCTTCCCCTCCCGTCTCCCTCCCCCCGCTGTCGCCGACTACCGCCGCTGGGCAAAGCCCTGGTGGCGTCGGCGCCGGTGGGAAGCTTCCCCCTCCCCTTTTTTTGCTCAGCCTAGGGTTGGCGCGGGACGATTTGGCCGGGCAGGGGCGCCGCGCTCGCGAGGGGCCGGCGATGCGACAGCATATGTGGGTGGTGACGGGGTGCGTGGCGGCGCGGGCCAAGCGCGTGTGCGGTTTGTGTGGCGGCTTCGTGCGGCGGCTCTCTGGCGGATGCGGGCGCCGTCGGGTTGCCCGTTCTGGAGGCCGGGCGGGCGGCGGGCCATGGCGGCCCGGTCCAGGACACCACGGGGAGCGGCTGCTCGCTCTTCGGGCGGGCGGGATGGTGGGTGGCGGACTCCGGCCGGCAGCCTGGATCTGGGCCAGATCTGGCAGGGCGACGCGGGTCCGACGAGGTGGTGCTGCTCGGGATCCCTCGGGCGGCAGTGGGGCGGCCTGCTGCTCCTTGGCAGGGGTGGTCCGTGCTTCAGGAGGTTGGTGCTGACGGTTTGTCTCTCCGGCGTGTTGTGACGGTGCGGATCCAGTATGCGGTGGTGGATGTCGTTCGTCGGCGCGCAGGTGTAGGGAGCCGACTTGGTCCGCACGGGTGCAAGGTTATGCGTTGGTGCTCTTCTCTCTTGTTGCGTTGTGGTGGCGTCGGTCCGAGGTTGCTCGTCGGGCGTCGCCGTGCCATGGGACGGATCGGCACCATTGACCACGGACATGGCGTCGTTCGAACGTGCTCGCTATGGCCGTCGGTAGTCACCGGGTTGTCTCCCCCTGGTCCACCGGGACCGGATGGGGACACAGGCATGGGCGCCTCCTACTATGGAGGTGCCGACCCAAACCCGCTGGCTGATGCCGGGCTAGGGGTGAAAGGTGGTCCCTTTCACTCTTACTATTGTGGTCGGGTGCCCGTGACGAAGATGGTCGGCAGTTCCTAGGGCATGGATGCCGGGGCGGCGGCCCCAGACGGCGGGTCTCACGGTTGGCTTTCTGGTAGGCTCCATGGTGGCGGTGGTGGCTCCATCTTTAGGTCATGAGAGCGACTAGGGATGTAGTGGCGGGAGGCCCAGGACTGCTCTGGCAGTGCCCAGATCTGGGGTGTGCAAACTTGACCCTTGTGGTAGTGGTCTCGTCTCCTCGTGGTGGTGCAGGCGAGTGACCGAGCGAAAGCTCCGAGCTTCTGGCACCGGCGACGGCGACGGCGACGCCTGTGGGTGTTGCTTGCTTCTTGAAGACGGCGTCGTGGATCCAGTACCTAAGCCAGGGCTCACGGTGAAAATCGTTGTCTGCTCTCAGACTCGGCAGCGGCGACGCTTCGTGCCGTAACCCTCCTGGGGGCGTTGTCTTTGAGCTTATGGGTTCCTGTCCGTGCCTCGGCGAGGTGTTAGGTTTGTTCTAGGCTTATGTTTTATCTATTGATCTGTTGTGTAAGGGGGCCTCCCCACCATATTGTATCATTCGGCCATGTACTCTGGTTTGTTGCTTTATTTATAAAGCGGGGCGAAAGCCTATTTCGAGAGGGAAGTGATTGACACCATGCAGGACAGAGGACAGTCGGCGGGTATGGCGGCGGCATTTTTGATGATTGTTTTCACTATGCCTGTGATTTTGTTACAACTAGATTCGAACATTGTAATAGAGAGACAAATAAAGTAGCTCATGAGCTCGCTAGGTTAGCTAGATTTTCTTCTACTTCGGATTGGTTCGAGGAGCCTCCGAATGGAATTGTAATGATCCTCGCAAACGATATAGTGATTATCTCTAATGAATAAAGTCTCGTTTTATTTCGAAAAAAAACAGGATCTTGACATTCCTTGAGGGGTATTGCAAGATCGAGGACCGTCAAGTTCATACTCAGCTCCAACAAGATCTTGTTGAGCATCATTGGCAACGTCTAAGCGGGTCCTAATTGTTCTATGAAATGCTATTTGCTACATTTGAACCATTCGGCGTGTTTAAATTCGATTTGTAAACTATATTTATAATTTGCTTGAACATTCAAATTTATGTTTAGTTTATATATGTGTGCCAATGTGTAGTTGCATTTTTACTAGAATTGCTAAGTTTAGAAAAACATAAATTTACTCCATTATATTTAGGGGATCGGCTAGGTCCGGCCAAAAACTTAGTGGCTACATGATAAAGGGATCGGTTAGAAATGTCCTTAGAGGCTAAATGATAAAGGGGTCGCTTAAAGATGCTCTTAAAACCTGTTACTTCACTAAGTTTTAGGGGTTCGGTTAGAAATGTCCTTAGAGGCTAAATGATAAAGGGATCGCTTAAAGATGCTCTTATGCTTATTTTTTTCTGGACATAGTGCTAATAGTGTTGCTCGTCTTTGTGCAAGAGAGGCACTTAGTTCTGTTTCTGATGCACTTCCTTCATTCCAAAATAATTGACCTTCCCAGAACTTTAAGACAGATTAAGGTGGCGGCTGGAATCTCCTTTATATCCTTCGATTTTCTACTAGTGAGTAGTGACTGAACAACCATCATTAAAGTGGAGGAGGAGGAGGAGGAGCACGGTAGGAAAAAAATGGTGGGAAAGATGAACCAGTGACTCAAAGCGCAAGTATTTCAAAAAAAATGTTGCTCCCTCCGATCCAGATTAATTGCTACTATTTTAGTACTCCTCCCGTTTCTAAATATATGTTTTTAAAGAAATTTTAATATAAACTACATACGGGTGTATATCGACGTATTTTAAAGTATAGATTTATCCATTTTGCTTCGTATGTAGTCCATATTAAATGAAATCTTTAAAAGGACTTGACGGAGGGAGTACAACTTTAGAGAGGCCTGCCTTTGCTTGGCCACTGTCAGGCATGCAGCAGGAGATGGAGCTGCCGCAGGTTGGTACGCTCTACACGGGAGGACAACACATCACCTCCACTTCCCTCACGGGACGATGAGTATCTCAATAGTTGGTGCACTTGTGCTGCCGAGTTTCTCAGTTCAGGGTCTAGGATTTCATGGGTCAATGTATGTGTGTCTTCTTCATCCCGACCGATCGTGCATGTGGGGAGAAGCAACAAAGTGTGTGTTTGAATGAGGAGCCAAATGGAATGGAATGGAGTTTCATGATTAAAACGAGTCGGTTTCATTCATCTGTTTGGTGTTTGGTTGAAGGTATAAAATGTTATTGTTTCGCTCTTGTGTTTGGTTGAAAAGATGGAATGAGGCAAATTTGATTCAGCTCACCTCTTGCATCGAGATGATGAGATTGCCTCCCATATGTAGATGTTGTACAATCAAAACAATTATAGCCTTCGCAATTTCAGCAACATACTACTCTCTCTGTTCCTAAACATTTATCTTTATAGAGATTTCAACAAGTGACTACATACGGAGCAAAATAAGTGAATCTACACTCAAAATATGTCTATATACATCCGTATGTGATAGTTCATTTGAAATCTTTAAAAAGACAAATATTGAGGAACGGAGGGAGTATTTAATTTGAATTTTTGGTAATATACTCAAGTTTTCAATAGCAATTTATTCATACTTCTAGCGCAATCAGTAAGTAATATACACTCGCAAGCATAACAAATATATGCATCAATTCACTGCTCAATTTGACAGTGTAAACATACTGGATCACAGAGCTACAGGTAGAGATTTTAATATTAGACAGAGAGAGAGAGAGAGAGAGAGAGAGAGAGAGAGACAGATAGACAGAGAGAGAGGATAGATAGTGTAGGTAGGTAGATAGATAGATAGATAGATAGTGTAGGTAGATAGACAGACAGATGTATACATCAAAAGCTAAATCATAAACAATAACACTTTCCATGTAACACATGTTCTTGCAAGTACATTTGCTACACAGTTTTGCCATTGCTTAACGCTTTGTAATGTCAGCTAGTATATGCCTGTATACATATTTCAACAAAACTGAGCTACCTTCCTGCTGGGTTCAATTTGCTTTCTCTATATGCATGTATGAGTAAGACTGGGGAATGCAGACCAGACCAGTCCAGAAAAAATGACGATCAGGTCTGTATCCCTTTTCCTATGTTGTTAGTCCCCTGACGTCCCTTGGAATCAGAAACAAAAATCCAATAGGTAAGAGAGTGCCCATCAGCTGAACAGTTAGGCCGAGTGCCAGATTGTCAAACTGTACCGACGAGATGTTCAAAGCTGACGTCAATGCAGCTCCAAGGAATGAACCTAATGTCGAACTGAGGTTGTTAATGGACATGAACAGAGCAAACAGTGTGCCCTCGATTCCAGGTGGGCAAAGTTGTCCCGAGAGGATTAGGAACGGCATCATCCTGCCAAATGAAGACAATAAAGTTAGAATCACTATTGTGTAAAATGTGTAGGTAAGATGTCAGATCTTCAGCCATGAGTACAATAATGGATTCATACTGGATAGATTGAACAATTTCCTCATTTTTTCAGTTGTTTTGATTAAGAGAACAATATGAACCTACTAACTAATGTCAATTATTATACTGGATAAAGTGAAGAATTTTCCTCAGTTGCAAAAAAGAACATACAGTCATCTAAAGAAATTTATGACATACAGGTCACACTTTAACCATGAGCTCAAGAAACATTCATGAGGGCCACTTGATTGACGCTCACCCAAATAAAGGAAATAAATAAATAAGAGTATGACTGTATCTGTCTAGTTTTAGTTGAAACAAAGAAGTTTAAGTTGGTGACTAATGAGTTGCCACAACACTAAAATATTTTAAATGCAAGATTAGTCAATGCAGGATCAGTAACTCTGGGCAGCAACTTAGGGTTTCTAACAGAAACGCATCTCAAACTGGTTTTCTAAACTACAGGTCAAGCAGAAACTCAGTTAATGGTTTGCAATCTACTACCTCCGTCCCAAAAAGCTTGTCTTGGATTTGTCTAGATACGGATGTATCTAACACTAAAACGTGTCTAGATACATTCGTATCTAGACAAATCTAAGACGAGCTTTTCGGGATGGAGGTAATACTCCCTCCATTCCCTTATACAAGGCCACAAACTCAAATTACAGGTACCAAGGTAAAATTTAATGATTGCTTTGCAAGCTAACTTTTCTTGTTAACTGGGATCATTAATATGCCAGCATGCATGCAAGGAAGGAATGAGAAGGAAGTAGCACAGTGTCATTATGACCACATGCATGCAAGTATTAAACAAGTTGCTAGTATGAGAAAACATCATTAAATTTTGCCTCGATTACTGTTAGTGGCCTTGTATAGATGCAAATTGTATTTTTCATAGTGGCCTTGTATAAGGGAATGGAGGGAGTAGTTCACATGAGTATGAAAGAAATGTCAGCTAGAGGATATACTTGAATTGGTTGATTGCATCAGCCAAAGCAGAGCCCCACAGCACCATGTATTTGTCTGCTATTCCATACTGCATATGTAATCTTGACACCAGTAAAATGTCCAGTACAGTAATTATCGCAAGGCCAAGATGTGCAAACCTGTAAAATAAGGACAGCAACTATTAAAGGTGGCACATGTAAGTACCTAACAACTTCAAACAAGTGAATAGATTTACATTCTAGCCAATTACCCCCATCAGTTTTTTAACAACATTAATAAAAGAGCATGCACTTGCACTCACAAAAACACTGATCGAGATCAATAAATGGTTTATACCAAAAATACCAAGATGAAAATTCAGTCCAATTCATCGAATTATGGACAGCCAACTTACGAAAAGTTCATAGAAAATTTCAGTCAGTACATTAAGCATATATGCATAACATTTCAACTTCCTTTAAACAAACTATATGGCACTAATATAGATAGTGTGTTGACATTTGGAAAAGATAAACAGCTTGAAAAAATGACTTACATAAGAATATTCCTGAGTTTTTTATGCTTTAAGTAGCGGTTGTAGATATATGTGCCAAGCATTAGACTGAACCACCCAATCACACGTGCAGTCCCTAAGAAGGATGCCTCCAGATGTAGAACCTCCGTTTGATAATAGAACATTACTGTTGAGATATTTGGAACTGCTGCATTTGAAAGGAAAAACCATGCCATAGGTCTAGAGAAAAAGAAAGGAAGTTACCGATTAAGCTCTTCGGTGCAAGATGCAAACATCAGAGAAAATGAAATTGCAGGGTTAATTACCGCAGAATTGCTGGCTGCTTAAAAGCTGTGCATAAACTGAAGAAGGCTGATTTCAGAGATGAGTATAAATTAACTGAATTATTGTGCTTCTCATGACCTTCAGGTCGTTTGGACAATGTTTTCCTTTTGTTCTTTTTACGAGCACCCTTTCGCCTCCTAGTGCTCGCATATTTAAAAGATTCACCTGAGCCTTGTCCAGCAAAAGCACTATCAATATTCTGATCATCAGCATGATCATGTGCAGCATTATCTATCGTGCTCTCAAATCCTTTTGGAGATTCCTTAACGAAAACACATGTAACTAGTTGGAACAGTGGAAGAGCAGAGAAAATAATATAAATAACATTTATTGGGAGATTGGACAATGCGTATCCTCCCAATAAGCTCCCAAATATCCCCCCTACAGCCATTGATGACCAAGATAATGACTGGAGATCACCAGCAAATTCTGGCCTGAAAAGAGAATAATTCAGGTTTTAAGGCATTGTATTGGAGTACTTATTATACAAGGTGAGACAAGATGCACCATATTACTCACCCTGCTGATCGAACTGCCTCTGCAATCATTGCATCTATAACAACATCTGCCATGGCAGATCCCAAGTTCTGTACAATCAACATTAGCGTAAAAAGATTGCTTGAGCTCCTCAAATGTTCTGACAGCCCAATGATAAGCCATGGAAATAGAGAAAGACCACTAGAAATGATCAAATAGGGTACACGCTTCCTCTGCTTAATTGGAATACAGTCCGACACAATCCTGCAAGTACAATTGATATATGGGTGAGTAAGTAAAACCAGGATTTTTTTTATTGGGCGGTCAGCAACATGTCCAGTAATGCATGTACCAAGGCATATATGGAAGTTTTACAGCTGTTAGCAACACGTTGTGAACCTTTATCCACAACAGGATAACTAACGTACTGAACATAGCCAGATGGCAATGCTGCAAGATATTGGTAGACATAGGTTGGATGAGAGGTTATTTCAGAGAGAAAAGATTGGTTGTTTCTTCCTGAAACATAGATACATGGCATCTCTACAGTGGATGCTTGGATCTTTGACTTTTCCTAGCACGATACAAACTCCTCATGGTTGGACTCCTTTAATCCTAGACTTGCAGCCCTTCCTCCCGTTTCCTTGGTGCTGCAAATCCTTGTCTGACACATGACCGTCTTCTGCTACAGGCCTACGATGCACCTATGTCCTTGGCCACCTTGACAGCCAGCTGGTGCAAACTAACTGCCACTGGCTTGATGCAACATACTAATGCATACAACAACACCACTGCCAAAAAGCAGCGCAACTCTGTGGACAGGAGAGTACTAGGACAACCATAGATCATGGACACTAGCTAGAAAACCGATTATGAGTTTGATATTACACGGGCCTACGTACTAGTACCGCTGAATGCCTTAATTTGCAGCAACAAAGCTATTTGACCAACAGATGTGGGAAATACTTTCTGTGATGTGTTCCTTTTTGCATTTCCATGTTACTGTCATGTGCCCATGTCTACAAATGAACTGTTCTTGTTAATCAATTTTCTGTTAAGATAACTTGAATACAAACTATGTTCAGATTGTTAGTGATAGGTTCTATTCACGGTAATCTGTAATTAATCAGAAATTGAAAAAAAAATTATCTCTGGTGGAATAATTATGTATCTATAGTAGCTCCATAAAAGTCCAGTAATAAACTTGTGTTGTGGTGGACACCAATATCAAACAATACCTAAGCTTATGCCTGAAAAAAGCGTAATTCTGAAAACTGAGATGTAAGACTCGTGACATTTGGAAACAAAAAAGTTAGTTAAAATATCTATATCCCAAGATATAGGCAAAGGAGAAGAATGATTATTTTGCATCAACCAAGGTTAAATTGTCGGTAAGTTTCGCTTCATATAAAGCAAAGAAGAAAAGGTAACATTACCCATATATAGGTTTTATGCTCCAAGGGAAAAATGCAGCAGAGACCAAAAACTGTGATGTTGAGGGTGACAGCTTCATGATGTCCTTCATTTGATATGAGACAGCTGTCCAGACAAAAGATCTGAAACCCTAAAACATTGAAGAATACATATTAGAACGTTTAAAATGTTAACATGTTCTTATTTGTGAAGCATTCAAGAAAAACAAACAGATTTGAAGGAGGGCCTCTTTAGTTATGCTGAATTCAGACATGGAATTTGCAACCGAGACATATCGCCAAAGCATGCAAGTTGAACAAGTGCTAAGGATATGAATGAACAACCTTGGCCCCCTACATGCTACCTTAAGGTATTTGACATGCCACCAATGCTCAGCATCCTGTGCAATTACCACATCAAGTAGTTTTAAGGCATCACAATCCAAGGCCAAGACTCGCCAACACTCGGATAGTTTCACATTTCCATGGGGCAGAGAATGACTTATCGATTCTAACCGAATTTCTTAAGCGCAATTGAGTCTCTCTATACAGACAGTGACTGATTTGGCGGCATATAAACGCTAGACGTCCATCTCAAGCTACTCTGGCAGCACGGGCTTCACATTCGCAACAAGATAAAATTAGCGTGCTGTCTACAAAAAGAATCCTTCATCATCTTGCGTGTTCTGGAAACATAAATTACGAAATGATCCTACGGACACGCACATGAGCGGCAGATCTATCTAAATCGACGGTGCGTGTACGGAGAAATGAGTGCGGTCACGAGGAGCGTCAGGGTGCCGGGAGAGAGGAAGAGACCTGGATGAAGTAGATCAGGCAGACGAGCCACAGGAACGGCGCCCCGAACGCCGCCGCCATCCGCCCCGCCCACCACGGCGAGGCCGGCGCCGCCTCCGCCATGGTCCCGACTAACAAGCGAAACGGATTTGCCCCTCCTGATCTGGCAAAATGAACCCCCGGGGAGATCTCGGCGTCTGAATGGATCGGAAGTGGGGGAGAGAGACGGACCGGAGTGAGGGCGGTGCAAGAGATGCGGGAATGCGCTGCCCGTATGACGCATGCACGGAGACGTCGGAGGATGGATGTCCTCCGGCTTGACGGGGTTTGTGAGGGCTGACTGAGACGCCACGCCCGGTGCCTGGCCGTGTCACAGCTCATCGACATGTGCCGTTTGATTGGCGCGACGGTTTTGGACAGCCACTCAGACTCTGCCACGTCGGGAGCTCCAGCAAAGCGTTGCTCTAGCTCCGTTGACTAGGACGGTCCGTGTAAGCTAAGATAAAATCTGTGCCTCCTTTCCTCCATCCATTTTCTATAAAAAAAATAGATATTCTTGCTTGTGAGGTCACTTGAGATAAAACTATCCATCCACCATGCAAGGGGAATGTTACTGGATATTCGTTCATGAACATTCTTCATGATCTCCGTCTAGAGATCTAGTAGAGTTGTCATATTGTGGTTTTCAAAACCATTTCAGAGCGTCCTTCGTATTTTTTTTCAAGGCTGCGGAGGCCATGCTCAAACTTAAATTTACCAAATCTCGTATCTTCAAATGTTGTCACCCATATTTTTTGCTATAATTGTGCATATAAACTATATTGTACGTCCATGTTGCATCAATGTAATTCAAACATTTTAAGTTTGAACATCAAAAAAGTTCAACAACATTTTAATTTGCAAGTTCAAATGAACAAATAATCTGGATGCCACAAATGGTAAGTCATAATTCACATACATGAATCAACAGTAAAGGGACATAAGTGAGCATGAACAAATGTGAGGGAAATATACTTTCGGCTAAGTTCTTCAACACATCGGGGTCGTCGGGATCTAGCGGGCGAGTGTAGCACGACCGGGAAGATAGACTACGCAAGAGAAGGAGTTGTCGATAGCAGACGGTCGGCATGTGATGCCGACCTCCTTGGCAAGCCATGGAAGGAGGAACTCTCATAGAGAGAGGCCCACATCAAGCTCCCGTGATGTGGCCATGGTTGATGGCGGAGCTTCATGCAAACCGACAGGGGCCATGCCCCCGGCCCCACTATTTTTTGCACCCATTGAAAAAGTGCTATATTTTAGGCCTAACTAGTGTTTAGAATAGGGATTAGCTCCTCCTTCCCTATTAATTTGCTCCCTTCATGTAATGACCCCCTCTTAGATTATGCTAAAGTTCCGCCACTAGCCATGGTGATGGTCACCATATAGTAGTAAGTTGGCATGAGACTGAGACGAAATGGGGTAGTGTAGCGACCAGACCTCAAACAGTCTGATCTCTGTGCTCCGGTGTCATCCCTGGATCAGTAATGCTGACACCACACAGTACTCGGAGGATTTATAGCAGAGTGGCAATCACACATTTATTACATCGAGTGTCTCAAAAGAAAACTTATTACAATAAATGTGGCTTAAGGCCATCTAATAACGATAACAGCGGAAGGCTTGGAAGATAAGTTAGTCCACCAACTCCAACGGCATCACTGAGTATAGAACCACGACCTAAAAACCCCTTAATCGTCATCTGAAAAGTCTGCAACATTAACGTTGCAGCCCGAAAACGGGTCAACACATGGAATATACTGGCAAGGTAACACATAAAGAGTAATGGAATGAAACAGCTATACTATATGCATATTTGGCTGGTGGAAAGCTCTATGGTTACAGTTTTGCGTAAAGCCAATTTTTCTCTACTACAAAGGAATAAATTTATTTAACTATCATGGTAGTTGTTAAACATTGAGAATGGTTGACAGCATTCTCAATCCCAATTAAGCATCATCATTAAACATAACCCAACAAAATTAATTTAGAGTAACATGTTGAGATTCACATGATAATCCAAGTACTAGATATTCAAGATGTCCATAACCGGGGACACGGCTAACCATGATTAGTTTATTACACTCTGTAGAGGTTTGCGCATTTTTTCCCACAAGACTCGATCGCCTCCGTTTGGTTTCTCGCACTACATGGTGTTTGAGAAGACGGATGACCGAGACATAGTCTTTCAGAAGCGCTAGCACCTTACGATCGGGTAGACCGTACCACCTACATCCCCTACATCTGCTAGTCTACCACTATAAGAGTTCGCACGACTTAGTCAACTATGCTAGAGCCCATAATAGCTTGTGGCTGCACACGGAAGTTTCTAGTATGAATAGTCTCATGATCCCTTTGAGCCTAGGTGGCGGTCCAAAAGAAAATAGGCAAGTTCTGGAATACCCAGGTGCCTCAATCCACCCAGATGTGTGTTTAAGTTGCCACCTTAGATGAACCATTAATTAACAATCTCACATCTGTCATGGATATCACTCACCCAATCCACGTCTACTAGCATAGCATGGCAAAATAAGCAAACGTAGAAGTAACTCCCAAAGGTTTGATAATAACAGATAATAGGTACTACCTCAACTACTTCCCATCCCACAATTTAATTAGATCCTAATCATGCAATGTGTGAGGATTGATCTAATGCAATAAAACTGGGTAGTAGAAAAGGTATGATCAAAGTCTTACTTGCCTTGCTGATGATCCGGGAAACCTAGCGATTCGAAGTAACAAGCGGCGCACTCCGGGTACTCTATCGCAAACAAACAAACAAGCATACAATAAGTACTCATCTAATGCACAGGTAAAACTCAAAGAATAGATCTAACCAGAAGGTTCAACTTAAGAACTCCGGTGGCAAAAAGAATCAAATCGAACGAAGCAACGAAAGTTAAACGGCGAAAGAAAACAACTTTGTTCTAGTAATCTGGATCTAGGGCAAATTTTACAGTAGCAAAACCTTGTTTAAGTTGGTTAAACGGATAGAGGGTTTCGAGACGAATCCCTGGGCGCTTGAATCGCATGATTCCGATAAACGAACGAAAAGTTATACTAAAACGAAAATCGGATCAGGAATCGCGATCAGAAAAATCGCGGATTTAATCCGAGAAAAAGAAAAAAACAACGAACGTCGATCTCTTTTTTTCTCTTTTTTTAACGACGGCACGGAAAACGAGGCGCGACGAATCTCGGCGGCGGGATCCAGCGGCGGTGCGCGACGGCGGCGGCTAGGGCGGGGCGCGGGTGGCTGGGCTCGGGTGGCTCCCCCCACCCCCCGGCTTATAAAGCCTAGTGGGCCGGGAGTCCGGGTCGGACACGGCCCCTAGGTCGGTTCGTATTTTTTTTATTCCACTCGGAAGAAAAAAATAAAAAGAAATACTAAACGGACTCCAAAAATTCTGAAATAAATTTTCACGGGCTTCTAAAATCAAGCCGCACAAGGTGAACATTTATTTGGGACCCAAATGCAATTTTGAAAAACGCACATTTTTCCTAAATTCAAATAAAACACCGAAAAACTCTCAAATAAAATCTTATTTGATTTTATTATTAAATCCTCAATATTTCTTTATTTTGGGAAAGTCATTTTATTCCCTCTCTGATATTATTGTAATAGGAATAATTGATGATAAAATAAATAAAATCAAATGATCCTATTCTCAAAATTTGAGAGAACTCAAATATGAAAATAACGAAATCCCCAACTCTCTCCGTGGGTCATTGAGTTGCATAGAATTTCTAGGATAAACCAAAATGCAAAATAAAATATAATATGCATGATGATCTAATGTATAACATTCCAAATTGAAAATTTGGGATGTTACAAACCTACCCCCTTAAGATGAATCTCGCCTTCGAGATTCGGGTTGGCTAGAAAATAGGTGAGGGTGGTCTTTGAGCAAATCTTCCTCTCGTTCCCAAGTGGCTTCATCCTCCGTGTGGTGGCTCCAATAAACTTTGCAAAACTTGATAACCTTGTTGCGGGTAACTCGGCTGGCAAACTCGAGAATCTTAACTGGTTTCTCCTCGTAGGTCAAATCGTTATCCAACTGAATAGTTTTCAAAGGCACTATGTCTCTCAACGGTATATCAGTCATCTCCGTGTGACATTTCTTTAACTGAGAAACATGAAACACATCATGAACTCCTGACAATCCTTCGGGCAATTCCAACTTGTAGGCCACTTCTCCCATACGTTCCAAAACTCGATATGGTCCTACAAATCGTGGTGCTAACTTCCCTTTAACTCCAAAACGCTTTGTTCCCCGAAGTGGAGATACTCGAAGATAAGCTCTATCTCCGACTTCGTAAACTGTCTCCTTACGTTTAGAATCTGCATAGCTCTTCTGTCTGGACTGGGCTACCTTGAGCCTATCGCGAATCAACTTCACCTTCTGTTCAGACTCTTTAATCAAGTCAGGCCCAAACAACTGGCGGTCTCCAACTTCGTCCCATGATAACGGTGTCCTGCACCTCCTTCCGTACAAAGCTTCGAAAGGGGCCATCTTCAAACTGGTTTGGTAACTGTTGTTGTAAGAGAACTCTGCATATGGCAAATTATCGTCCCAACTAGATCTGTAATCTAGCGCACAAGCTCTCAGCATATCCTCCAAAATCTGATTGACTCTCTCGGTCTGTCCATCTGTCTGTGGATGAAAAGCTATACTGAATTCTAGCCTGGTACCCAAAGTTTCGTGCAACTGCTTCCAGAACTTTGACGTAAACTGGGTTCCTCTATCCGATACGATACTCCTTGGAACTCCATGCAGACATACGATCCTGGTCATGTATATCTTTGCCAACTTAGCACTGGTATAAGTGGTCTTTACTGGGATGAAATGAGCTAATTTCGTCAATCGATCAATTACAACCCAAATCGAGTCATAGCCTGAACGAGTCATGGGTAATCCCGTGATAAAATCCATGCCTAGCTTATCCCACTTCCATTCGGGTATCGGCAATGGTTGTAACAATCCTGCTGGCTTCTGATGCTCTGCCTTTACTCTCTGACATACATCACAAACTGCTACATACTCGGCAATATCCTTCTTCATTCCGGTCCACCAGAAAATATC